CCTCCTTTGCTCCCCTGCTCTGCCTGCAGCCACAGGGTACCCCAGCAGCCAACACTGCTGCCAACCGCTCCTGTCCCCCAAATTCATCAGGCTCCTGTCTCCATTCGGCAGCAGCAGGAAGGTGGAAATTCCTTGTCAAAAAGCCTCATCCATGAAATGGAGGAAGTGTGGAGACTCCAGATGAGATCAGTTAAAGTGTACACAGAAGTCTGATTAGTGTGATTTTCCCTGTGTAAAGGGGAGAAGAGAGGTGTGGAGCAAGTTAGAGAGCTGGACACCTGATGCTCACTCTCTTCTCTGTTAAATACCTGAAATGACTCAGATGGGTAGAGAAAGATGCCAGTAATTCTCTTAATTGTTTTGGTTTGGAGGGCTTTTTGTTTTGTTTTGCTTTTTTGAGAAGAAAAAAAAAAAAAAAAAAGACAGTGGCAAAAGAAATTTAAAATCCTTAAAGTGAAAGGAACTGACAGAAAAATGAGATAAACCCTACCTTGCAGCTTCTATAGGAAATTGCATATCCCAGCAACCCTGATCAAGAATTCACATCGTTTAGGAAATTAAGAGGTATTGGTTCTGCAGAAGACTTCAGTACCAGTAACTCCTGATTAATTTGGTCACTTAATTACAGTGATTCTCCAGGAGATCAAGCCTAGCCAAAAAACAGCCTTTGAGAAAAAGCAGATCTTTTATGCAGGTCTAGCATCTGATCTCCACCAGCAAGCAGCCCCTGCTGGAGTGGCTCTAGCCAAGTCCCCATAGAGCATCCCAGGTCCTTCAGCATGATGGACAGGTTCCTGGCAGCATGATGGGTCACCAAAGAGCTACCACCTCCTACTACAGATGCACAGCCAGGTACAACCAGCTTATATCTCATGTTCATACTGTGGGGCAAAACAGCCACCAGAGTCAGTCCACACCAGAGGTTGGGTGATGCCCTTGACTCCATGAATTAGGTAACTCAGACACTGCAGATGCAGAGGACATTTATTTATGCAGGACAATATGGCAGAATACACTTTACAAGAATTTCCTATCAAAAGCAGGGATCCATATCTTTAGAGGTGACTTCTTGCAGACCCTCTGTGGCCTGGGCAGATATTTTCTCTGCTTGCCTAAGAAAGGCCTTGGCACTGCCACCTTACTCCAGAGGAGTATCACAGACCTTATCACAAGGTGACAAAATGAAGACACAGTGGCCAGCACTGTACCAGCACTTTGTTCATGGGGACCAATCTGCCTACAGGAAATGAAGCAAGCAAGCATGCATGGCCACAGAAGGATCCAGTCTGCACATAAACTGCTCCTATACTACAGTCATGAAGTTCCTGACATTGGCCTAGGCTGATTTTGTTTCCCTTCCAAACAGGGAGACCCTAGCTGTGTTCAGCTCTCTCTCTCTGATGGTGGTGCTTGCATCTCTCCTCCAGCTTCCCTCACCACCCACAGCAGCATATGCAACAGCTAATCCAGGATATCAGGTACATCTGCTTTGACATGAGCACAGCAGCTGGGTCCCTTTGTCTGAGTCCTGGTAAACCTGTCACTTGTCCTCATCTGTAAATGCTGGTAGTTGCGTGATTCATCATCAGCCTTAGGAGTGAGCACTGAGCCCATCCACGGCAGAGTAGTGCTGCATTAACTGAAACATGGGCAGTCACAACTCTTGGTGTCTCGTAGTCCTTCCAGGGCTTCAACTTGTCAGGATAAAGGGACCTTTGTTAGAGGAAAGTACAGGATCAAAGCTGAAATTCAGGATCACCTTGCTTGATCACAGCTTGATACAATATAAAATTATTTGTGTGCCCAGAGTGTGACAGCTCAGAGTCAAAGGACAGGACTTTCAGAAAGTTTTCTTGCCTTTGAAGATCTTCACCTGCACTAACCTTAACCTGCCTGGATTTAACAGGGCTGACTCACCTTCTACACCAACCAAAGCAATAGACACAGACGCTCCTGATTTACACCAGAGAAGAGAACCACAGTTTGGGATGCTGTTTCTTCTTTATAAGGAATCTGCCCCAGTTTGAAGGCATACAGGAACCCCACAGTCAGTATAAACTAGTACTCTCAGGTCAGCATGCACTGACAGTATGTTACTGGAAATCAGGCTACTCCAGTCTTTACTAGCAGGCAATGGCAGATTAATGGGATTTGTCATGGTCAAATTGGAGCTACAGTGGAATAAAAGGTAAGGTACATATATCTCTCTGCCTGGCAAAGTACTGAATATATGATCCTACAAGCAGATCCCATGGGGAGAACTACACTTTTAATCACAGTTTGGCCTATTTGCCTTTATAGGTTCCAACTTTAAAAGCAACCTCAGATCTGAGAGAAAGAACAAGGAAGAAGAAAAAGAGATTAATCTCTGTGCAGATGGGTGTACAGAAGTGAAACTCTTTTCAGTGCTAATTAACAGACAGAAAGAAACAAGGCAAGATCATACTAGCACTTTGCATTTCCTTTTCTAGCCAGAGTAAGATCAGTGACACCGAGAACCACATCTTATCATAAAGTAATGGTAAACACCAACACCAGAGAGCTCCCCAAGCTTCAGGTGAATGCAACCTGCAAAAACGTGCTTGTTGAGAGCTCCCCCCTCTTCCTTCCCCTTCAGAACAACTCAGCTTTGCTCCACAGCTCAGCAGAGCCTCACACAGGGGCGCAGCAGAGCCACGAGGGCAGCACAGAAAGACTGGAGAGGCAGAAAAGCCCACGAGCATCCCCGTGGGTCTGCGGTGCTCAGCAGTGGGTGCCCAGGACCTCCCTCCCGCAGGGACACACTGCCACCCTGTGGTCCTTCCTCTCCCCGGCGGCTGGGGAAGGAGGCAGGTGAGACGGGCTCGCAGCCTCCCAGATGCTCCTCAGTGACACAGGCAACACACCAGCCACCCGTGTGCACCTCGGCACTGTGCTGCAGGAGGGCTTTGCGAATTTAATGGATTGAGGCCAACGCAAATCTAATTTCTGCTAAGTCCTTGCAATCACGTAACTAGCGGCCAGGTGGCTGCTGTGGACACAGTGATGTAGCTACTGAAATGCAGTTACTGTCACTCCACTCCCCTCCACGGATAAATTATAACAAGGGGCAGATCATCAGCAAATCTTTAGACAGGCCAGATGAGAGACCAAGGGTAGGTGTCACCTCTGTCCCCAGGACTTCAAGGAAGCATGCAAAAAAGGGGCAGAAAGCCTGAAACAAGGCAGATGTTGACAGTAGGTTTCCTTCATCCTGCTACATTAAAAAAAAAAATAAATAAATCCCTAGCCCTAGTCCTTGCTTTGGGTGGGCTGGCAAAGAGAAAGGCAGCCTTAACATTAGCAGGTCAGCACTAAATGGCAAGAGACAGCTCTGACTGTATAATTCTGTCAGCCAAAAATAAACAGCAGGTGAACACCAGTGGAAGTCTCTCATCAGTACACTCAGAAGGTTATTTAAACACAGCCTAGAGACCTGTTTATTCAATAAGGGCTGTAATTAGCCTGCAAATTAATCTCAACACATCTCTCTCTGGCAGAGTGAGAAATGAGATTCCTTGGGGAAAAAACAAAATTAAGTGTTGCTGCTGACAGATGAATACTATGTATCCAGATTTTAAAAAATAAGACACTAAATCTAAAAACAAAGGGGTTGAGTTTATATTCCTAGTTCTTTAGAAAGAACTGAAGCAGGAGCACCCAACAAAAAGCTCCCTGAAGAGGCTGGAGAAACTGACTAAACTACCAATAGTACAAACCAAAATGTGCTACTTATAACTATGCAGGTACATCTGCATTTCTGAATAGGCCTGAGACAAAACCAACAGAAGAGACAGCAATTCTTTTGATGTACTTCAGTAGGCTTTGGGCCAGCTCTCTGGTGCAGCAACCTTTGATTTTTATTTCCATTACAAAAAAAAATAAATTAGAAACTCTTGTATACGTGCTCTTCTCTTCATTCAAACTGACTGTTGCCTCATGCCAGCAATCACACAAAAGAGAAATGAAACATTCCTATTATTATTGACAATGAAACAAGATTAGTCCTGCTCAGCCTCTTTTCCTGTTCTTCAGATTTAACTCCTGGCACAAACTTAATGAACAAAACCTGAAGCAAAGCAGCCTGTGCCAGACAACACATTCTAATCTGAAATTACATCTCCTGCTCTAATGTGAAAACCCCAAGCACCTTTGGAAAAAAAAAAACAAAACCACAAAAAAACCCCACAAAAAACAACCAACACACACATCTTGAGATAACCAGAGCTCAGGTATTCAATAGTCAGAAGCAGCTAGTTGGTTCTGCCCACTTCAATCAGGAGAGAGCACTCTGGGATGGCACGACTTCACGAGTTACTAGACACACAGCTCTGCAGCTGGCCCCGCTGGAGTTCAGTCTCACATCTCCATGCTGCAGAATCTCAATCACAATCAAGAGAAGGCAAAAGGGAAGAGAACAGAATAAATGCTATAAAGATAAATATACATACTGTATATGTTCTGTGAAGAAAAACGTGCCTATTGCTTGTCCTGTTTTACAATTAGGATTCAGAAAACGCAAGCAGTGTTCTGTTTTGAACTGTTTTTCACTGAAAACAAAACACACATTCTGCAGTTCATTCCTTACCTTCAGCAGTCCTTTTGGAAAGTCTTTGCCATCGTTCATTCCCTGGAGGTTGGCAACAAATTCCTGGCAGGTCATCTTTTTCCCAATGTTCTGGAAGGAATAATAGTGAAATACAACATTGTACACATGCTGCTTTCCAAAATGACATAAACAAGCAACATCAGATGAACTGCATCTCCTCACTCTCATGTAAGCCTGAGGCAGGCAGCACTAAGAAAGCATTCCTAAGAATACTCAGAGACAAGCATCCTTGTATGAATATAGTTAGAAGAGGGAAAGTGCATTTAGACCCCAAGTCCCACACATCCATCCAAAAAGAAAAACATCTAAAGACTGGAGGGTGATGATGAAGCTCCCTGATATCTGCATGGTGTCTTACATCCCTGTATCTCCAGAGGCTCTACTAGCCTCTGATGGAAAAGCTCTACTGGATCCTGCTGTAGGGCATAAGGAAGCTGTTGACTGAGGCCATTTCCAGATCTTTCTTTTATGATTTCCAATGCTCTCTTACAGTAGCAACTGTCCTGAGTTGGAGTAAGATGCCCAGGAGTATCTGGTAACTTTTCTGATTCACAGGCTGAGGCTGCCTTGACATTTCCATAGCATTGCTCTCTCAACTCTCTTTTTGTCTGATAACAGCTGCCCAACTGAGCCACAAACAGAGAAGGAACGGCTATGTTAATGTAGGATATAAACTGCTCCATTTAGAGGTGTGAGACTACCTTAAACTGCTCTTGGATCACACTCTTCATCACCCATCAGAAAAGGTGTCTGTTACCCAGTCCCCTGCATGCTAGAAGTCCCACACTTGGCATGCAGGGCGCCTTGTGAGTGGGCAGCAATGACAACAACAAGCTGGTGGAAGGGAGCCCAGAGGGATCTAAGGAAAGGGAAGCAGCCTCAGATTAGCTGTGAGACATGGAAAAGGTAGAGGGCAAACAGGGCTCTGTGATCACCAGGCTATCTTTGGGGATGCCACTGCTGGTCAGGAGAAAGGAGTGAAGATGACCTTTCCAAGGTCAGGGTATGCCACAGAGGCAGAAATACAGTGGAGCAGCTTTGTATTCAGACAGTGACTTGGGTTACGAGTAAGAGGCCAAATTAAAACAGGCGTGGAGCCTGAAGAATGGCAGCAGTCAGTAATACAGGTCATTCCATGTTACAGTGACATGACAGCTTGCACTGCACATTCTCTGCTTCCTTCCATAATGCATGATCAGGGAGAGATGGAAAAAACAGCAAACCTTGACCATTATCTACCCACCCAGGAAGATCCCACAGCCTGTGGTTAGCAGAAAGAGGGTAGACAGGAACAGTGTCTTACACAAGAGAGGAGGTTACTGGAGAGCACATGATGCACTGCTACCACATCATAAAGGCTCCTAAAAACACACTCTGGCTGTAACCCTGGCTCTCTGGTTGCTAAGCTTGCAGAACACCATAACTGCAGTTTTTGGGTGCAGGCTAGAGCTGTTCTAAGACACTTGCAAGTGCTTTCCTTCCTCCCTGTGACAGACCTCCAGTATGCTTCTGTTTGTTTCCTCCACGCAGCAGTCTTCAGCATCCCCACACAGACCAAAACCAACAGCAGTGTGGTCCATTTCACCCACTGACATAACTGGCATTGCAGAGGAATGGTTGCTTTGTTCCAGGACCTCAGCTAACTTCTCCATAGAGTGCTGCACGTGTTCCAGAAGACCTGTCTGGTAGTCTAGAAATACCTTAAAAGTCTCTAGCATCACAGTCTAGGTGATGAACTCCCTGCACAGAACACAGCATGCATCTCCAAGGCACACCTATCAAAAATTATTTCATTACAAAGAGAATGAAATATGGCAAGACAGGAATAAATAAAGACGTAAGTAAGAGTTTGTCTACAAGAGTTAAAGGAAAGTGTGAACTGAAGACAAAGCAGCAGCACTACAGCCCTACAAGCAGTTGAGCTTATTGTGAAACAGAGAGTCTGCACTTCCGATCAGTATGTCAGCAACAACTGGAGCTCAGTGTAGACAAGCCCTGTGACTCATTTCATTTCTGCTCCAGTAGAATCATGCTAAGGATGGGTTAAAGCATTATCTTTGTTAGGAAACAGGCAGTCAGTGTTTATCTGCAGGGGGCTGCATTCCAAGTAAAAAAATGTTCAACTTACCACCTATGTGGAAAAATGCAAAGCAGTTAGAGGAAGACCAAAATTACAGGAAAGCACAGAGAGAGAGAGAAAGAGACATGCAGGAGTCTGGCAAACTTTGTAGCTGTGTACATGTAACAACACACCAACGGCTGTCAGTAGAATAAGCCTCCAAAGTTACACACTGCAACAGCAGAGGCATCCTAGCTTCATCTGCAGATCAGCAGCAGCAACGATGGGTCAGGGCCAGAAAACTTACTCCAGTACCTGATGAGGACAATAGGGCCCACTAAAGCACCAAAGGAAATACTATCAGGCTGGACAACCATTTAATCTCCCTCCCTGAGAGTGCAAGGCAAGGCAGGCTGGAGAGCAGGTGCCCCAGGCTGCTCATTGCTCCAGGGAGCAAAGAACCTGCACAGGCAGTCCCAGGTTTGCTCAAGAGAAGCATGTATGCAAAGAGGCACACCAGGGCATGTTCCTGTACCTCTGCTCACCCTCCTGATGTGCAACTGACGTGCCTCTCAGTTGAGGAAGACTCAGCTGGCAGAGAAAATTCTTCATAACTCCTTTCCCCCCAACCCCCTCCCTCAACCTCCTTTCTCCCCCTACTTTTACAGTTTTCAGAGAAAGCCACTTGACAAACAGAAGGTAGACATCAAAACCCCTGGGGGAGCACACAAAAGCCTCAGCTTCACTACCTGCACCCACCACAGAGCTGCATCCACAGGAGCCAAGCAGCCCTTTGAGACAGACCCAGGGTGTTCTCTCTCCCCTGCCTGACCCTTGCTGTGCAAGAGCTGCCAACTGAGGTTCTCCTGGAAGAGCCTGTGGCAGTGCCAGGGAAGAAGCCAGAAAGAAGCCCCAAAGCCACCTAGCTGAAGCCACCTGCATACTATCATGCTCTGCTCCGTGTGTTTTTCCCTCTCTATCCTGACTCCAGGACAGAGGAAAACCTCCCATAGCATGGGAATACCGTGTACAGCAGGCTTATTGCACCATGGGTGCTGAAATACACATCCTAGGGCTGCTGGCACCCTGTACCAGTGTGACTAAGAGGATTCAAACCGGAATACTGTTTCCTCCAGGGCAGGCAGTGCAGAGAGGTGTTCAGTGGGGAACACAGTGCTCCTAATCAGGACATTCACAACCCCTCTCTGCTCTCTCAGATCAGGGCACCCTCATCGTTATTCTGGCTGGTATATACATATATGTATGTGTATATAACTCTAGTTCCACCAGATCTCCCATCTTCAGCTGTATTCCTGCAAACATCACCTTCCCTTTGTGACCACCCCAGCACCTCTTCACCTCCCTTCTTTCCTCTGCCTCCCCAAGTGTTTTTACACACTGGAAAGAGGTGTTTGAGGAGCAGGCCACCAGCCAGGGAACTCTGCTGCCAGAACACCCTCTCCAAGCACAGTGGCAATGCGAGCAGTCTACACAAAGCTGTGCATACTCACGTGGCCATGCAGGTCTGTGTTCAGCAGCATCATGGCACACGTGAGACAGTGAATTCCATCTGTAGAAAGAGACATAGCCAGAGTCACATGCAAATGCACAACTGGACCTTTAAGAACAGCTGAAACTGAGCCTCATAACCTAATTGCATCTGTTCCCTTAATGAGAATCTGTTTTATCAAGAAATACACATAATTAAATAAATGAACAGTGACGTCATCCCACAGCTGCCAAGCCCAAACAGCCTTTCTTTCATCTTTTAATGACTGTCAAAACTACCTTGCAGCACTCATGGATGAGGCAACCTACACACTGTCACCCTTTGCTTGCTAACACCAACAACTCAGCCTGAAGCATCTCCCTCTTCTTAATTTCTTCCAGGGCAGAAACAGAGGAGTAAAATGCACCCATTCTTGTAAGCAAAGGGATACAACTTGGTACCCTACCTTTCTCCCCCACTGGCCCCCTCCTTACTTAGGACTCAATCAGACTGAATTTTGGAGAACATCTGTCAGCTATTTATGCTGTCTTGGCTCCATATTGGGTAGAGAGTGCTCCAGCAACTTCTAAGGTGGTCCTGTAGCAAAGGCCTTCAACAATGAGACAGAACAAACAGATGGTATCTCCATCTCTGTCCTGGGGAGTCTGTCATGGTTTGGGCCCAACACGACAACAAAGGAACAGCCCCAGGGACACTCACTCAACTCCCAGTTCAGTCAGTTCACAGGCTGGTGGTTCCTGCTGCTCCTTCCTCCTCAGGAAGAAGGATTCCTTACAGTCCTGCCCTGCTTCCCCATGGGGTCCCTCCCATGGCAGAGAGTCCTCCAGGAACCCCTCCTTCATGAGTCCTTCCCACCAGGTCTGGAGCTGCTCCAGCCTGGGCTTCCCACAGGGTCACGGGCTGCTCAGGGAACAGGCACCTCCCCTGGCTCCGGGGGCTTCCAAAACTGCACAATCAGAGTCCACTGGCAGCAAATCCTCTGGCCACAACATCCAAGCCCACTGGCCAAGCTCACCCCTCCTGGCTCCTTCAGGGAATGTTCCACCTGGTTCCTCCACGAGAGCAGGGGCCCATCTGCCATCTGGCCATGGGCTGCAGGGAAACTTCTGCTTGGGCACCTTCTTCCCTTCCTCACCAACCAGCAGCACTGGGCTGCTTCTCCCTTCCCCAGCACAGCTCTTCACCCTAAGTGCTCCTCTGCTCAGGTGTTACCTCAGTTATTTCATCTCTCTAATGGCTCCTTGGCTGGGTTTGGAGCAGGGGGAGCTTCTCATCTTCTTACAGGAGCCACTCCTGGGGCCCTTCCCCTGCTACAAAAAAACCCCACCAAACCAAATCAGCACAGACTCTCTGTGACAGACTTGGCAAAAGTGGACACCAATTTAATTCTCCTCATTTCCAGGCACGTCTTTAAAAATTCAAAATGTATTTGCTGTCCACAAGTCCAGACAAAAGTGACAGTGCCCATGGTGCCATTTACCACCACTGAAAATCCAAATGCCTCTAGCCAGTATCCAAACATTAGGATCACATTAGGAAAAATATTTTCTTCCCTTCTTTGGTTCATAAACACATGGTGTCACCATCCCTTCTCTCACAGGGGTGTCATAAAGACAGAGTCATTTATGAGACACGAACACACTGTGGGCAGATGTATATAAAAACCTTTGTACCCAAGTGCAGTTAGTGACCATGCACAGAGGTCCCTTTAGCTGTGAAGGAAGAGGAATGGGGGGGCTGAAGATAGATCCAGAAACACTAAGTGTGAAATACCACAGGCTTCAATATGTGTAAGAGGAAGCCATCACAGAAAGATGTTCCCCAAGGTAAGGACCACGTTTTCTTAAAATGCTTTACAGCACCAAGCAATGTTGTTGAACTTTAGCAGAGCATGAAATGAGAGAAGAACTATTAACACTAACAGCAGTCTGAAGCAGCTTGAATCTCAGGCTGTTGGTGCTCCAGTTCATGTCTATGCATTTCTCTAGAGTTTGCCCTCTCATTTCCAAACTGAATGCACCCAGAAGATGGAAAAGGGAAAGGGGAAAAGATCAAGACAAATGCAATCCTGGATTTCAATTGAAAGGAACAACCCCCATTCTTCTCCAGTGTAGCACTTGACACTGATTGCACAAATACAGCATCAAAATTTTGTAGAATCCTGAGCAAAGCCTGCAGGAGTCATTTTAATTTAAATGTTTACTCAGCCTCAGAAGTGGCAATATCCCTCCTGCACTCTGGACTAGAGTAAGGCTGCCATATCAACTTGCAAACCACTATTTCAGTCTGGACATGACAGACTTACTCTACCTGACCACCTGCAGTCTCTTGAAACAAGAAAGGCATTAGAAGAGGACAGAGATAGTATGGGAGCAGATCCTGCATTACTGCTACCTGTTCCCCTCCCTGGCATGCCAACCCCCAAAGCTGGAGCAAAGGGACAAACACAACCTCACTGCAGCAGGAACAGCTCATAAAGCAAGGGGTAAGGAAGTGTGGCAGTACCTCCAACCGTAGCAGCTCTTTCTCACACTTGAGACCAAAGGCACAGCTTAGCCCTGTGCTGCAGTCACAGAGCTGCACAGCTCTGCTGGCACAGCTTGCTGAAGGCAGCAGCTGTGCCAGTGGACAGCTCATCCTCTTCTCCAATGACAGCATTCTCAGGCTTGACCCGGGTGCTTGTTTATTTCCCTCATGCATTTCAACAATGGCTGCAAACATTGGCAAAGAGGCAGCACTCCAACTGATGCTAGCTAGCCGATTTGAAACCATTCCAGGGTCTGGATAAAGCACCCAAAATTCACCCCCACAACTGGAAAGAAGTGGCATGCCTGCTGCCAGCGCACACAGAGACACACGCACTGAATGAAGCCCAGAAAGCAAACAGCTTCTCTTCCACCTGAGATGGGACCTATTCTCATCCACTTGTGTGTAGCTAGAGTACAGGCACCCACACACACTGAGGACATTCAAATCCAGAGGTGCTACTACTGAGGATTTACATTGAGGAGGACTAAACACCTTTCCTGATCAGGGATAAAGATAGATTTCTCACTGCCTCACCACATTAGGGAGTGGAGAATGTGGAGGGCTTCAATGCTCACCACAGGCAGTTCCTAAAGTGTGACACAATTATGCACCTTTGGTTCCCTGGCACACAACCATACATGCCATTGAAGGTGAGACTGAAGAAGGAGACAACCAAAGACAAAGAAACAAAGTTACCTTGAGAAGAAATGGTGTTTGGGTTGCACTGGTAGTATCTGCTGGAGAAGTGGATCAAAACTCTTTCTCGTTCCTGAGTTTCTCCAATAAGTGAAAAGGCTTTAAAGAAACTCCTAAAATAAGAGCAGAAAAACATGAAATTAAAGTAATAAATTTATTTTTGCCTCACACAGCACAAAGAGCAAAGCACACTTCACAGAAGTACGTAAGAGCACCACAGACATTTGGTTTCAATAAGCTGTTCTAGGAAAATGGGCTATTACCCTGTGTGCAGTTAATTCCAACATGATAGTAAATTAAGCAGGAGTTAAACTACCACTGGTCTCAGCCACAGAATATACTAACAAATGAACAACTACACCATTTGTGAGAGCTGCTCTTATTTAAAGTATTTTTCTTTCCCTTGGAGAAGGAATGGGAGCATGTGTTGTTTATGCATGACACACATCCAGGGTGTTTTCTGTCCTTTTCTAACTGCCAGCCCTCTACCTTTTAACTTCACACTCATTAGCATTCCCACCCAAATCAGATGAGCTACTTCAGGACATTATGCCAAGTAGGTACCCTGCAGAGCCAGAGCCCACACCAGATGTGCACTCTTCCTTCTGGAGGGTCACCTCTCAGAGCAGCCAGGACCCCACCAGTTGCCTTGCAGAGGGCAGTGTGACTACCTGACCTGCAAAAAATATCTGGGGAATTGGGCAGAAGAGTCATAAGATTTCCCACTGAGCTTCAACAGCAAGAGAAGCAAGCTGTAGCTCCTGGGTTCCAGCACATGACAGTCCTGGGCTGGTGCACACCTGAGTACACTCAAGTAGACAGCCAGTGAGCCTGTGCAAAGAGGTAGGACACAGACATCTCTTCTGCTCTTCGTGCAACACTCACCCACCCCACCACTTAACCATGCTGTTATTCTTCCTGATAGACTCGCCTCGCAGCCAAAAAAAAAATTCCCAAAATCCCTACATCCTGGAGCCAAGAGATGATCTCAGCAGTATCAGCCTAGGCTTATTTGTCCAGATGCTTCTAAGAAAAGTTTGAAAACACAAACCTGGGTCCAAAGCAGGACAGTACACAACATGAATGCCTAATAGCCAATTTAAAATAAGCTATGAGACTGAAACTGACACCAGAGCTTAGAAGCATGAAATATCTTGCTGGAACATTCACATCTATCTAGCCTAGACAAATAAGAATTTTTTTTTTTCTCTTTTATGTAAAGTGGGCTGTACTTGCAAAGATCTCACACACACACAGAGTGTGATCTGCCTGGCAATAACTTAATTTCACATGTAATGTATTGCAAATAACTAAATTCACAAATAGATGCAAATGAGTCCTCACAGGGTTTCTCTTCCCTTCCTTCCTCATGCTCCTATAGGACTTTCTGACAACTAATAATTTCAGCATTTTTTTTACCTTCACCCTCTCCTCCTCTTCAGCACCCTCAGGCCCCTGGAAGCTGCCTCAGAGAGGCAACTGATGAAATAGTATTTGGTGAATAAACAAGGCAGGTTCCTCACTCTCAAAGCATGATGCTGCATCTGAGAGCCACGGGGAAGAGTTTGTCCACCAGGAGGACTAGGATGGACTCTGAGAGGGACTGCAGCTGCAGTCCCACCTCCTCCACTCCTGTGGTCCTGCACACAATGTGAGAGATGCACCTGGGAGACATATGGGTGACAAGTCCAGGGTGGATATTGAGGTGCTAGAGAAGGTCCAGAGGAAAGCAACAAAGCTAGTGAAGGGACTAGCAGGAAAGTCTTATAGGGATATGCTGAGGGAGCTGAGGTTGTTTAGTCTGGAGAAGAGGAGACTCGGGGGAACCTTTTCACTCTCTACAACTACCTGAAGGGAGGTTGCAGTCAGGTGGGGGCTGGGGTCTTCTCCCAGGCAACTAGTGACAGGACAAAACGGTATGGCCCGAAGCTGTGCCAGGGGAGGTTTAGGTTGGATATTAGGAAGCACTTCTTCATGGAGAGGGTGATCAGACATTGGAATGGACTTCCCAGGGAAGAGGTGGAGGCACCATCCCTGAATGTATTCAAGGAAAGGCTGGATGTGGCACTCAGTGCCATGGTCTAGCCAAAGTGGTGGTGTTGATCACAGGCTGGACTTGATGATCTTAAAGGTCTTTTCCAGCCTTGGTGATTCTGTGTGGAAGTGGAGCAGGACAAGGAAGGAACAACTCTCCCCATGTCCCAGACTTGCCAGCAGCGGCAATATGCCCTGCAAAAGACCATCCCACAGCCTGGGGGTAGGGTAGGCCTGGGCTGCTGCCACAGGCTCCAGAATGCTGAACAAACCACAGCTTGTCAGCAAGCCAGCAGCAACAGGGCGGTTGCCTCTCACTCTCTGCAAGTGCCAGGCAGCATGGCTGGGCTCCCCCAGGGACAACGCTCTGCCCCAGCCCCTGCTGCCTCCCCAGGGCATCCCACCAGCAGTCACTGCAGCTACTCCTAAAACCTCGGCAAAACCACGGTGTGCCCACATCCCACAGGACCCAGGGCATATTTTAGAAAAGGTCATGACTATTAATATTAACAGGAGATCTACCGGGAGCAGAGACCTCCTAAATATGTGCCACAAAGCAATTAGGTGTTGGATTTCACAATTTAAAAGACGGATATATTTAGCATCGTGCTTCAGGGCTGCTAAAACCTGGAACGAGCAGCAGACCTCCCACTGCCTGCTCTGGCTGCTCCTGCCTTGTGCTGAAGGGGTGGCTCCACCTTGGCTCCCATTGCCCTGTCACGGTTCCTTTCTGCCACCTTCAGCAGGCAGGACTCTGGGCTTTTCTTGGGGTCTGCCACCTTCTCCTCGAGTTAGCCCCCTGGAAATGCATTTGCAAGGGGACTGGCAAGTGACTGCAGACCTCCTGATCTTGTATCATCAGAAAAAAAATAAATAAAAAAATAAAAAATCAATGGCCCACTTGAGTAACCTCAGCCAGATGATTTAAACACACTTTAAATCCCTTTAAATACCAGAACACCATGCTAAGAGGCCACTGCTACACAGACTTGGTGTTTCACCTCCCCAGAAAAAAAAATACTGAGAACAAACATTGTCGAAGTCTAATTCCAGTGTAAAAAGGAAAGAAAATTGAAGGGCTGGGTTTTCAAACACCCACGCTGGCAGCTACCAAACTCCCAACAGCATTTTCCACATGGAAATTTTTGCTGTTCTGCACATTTTTGAGTGCCTCAGAGGGATGCAGCGAGGGGGGCTGCTCAGCTACAGCAAACCCAGGCCCTGACTTTGTGCACTGTAGCTGGGCAAAGCCAGCTACAAAAGGCATCAGCCAAAAAACCTGTGTGGCTCAGCTGTGAGTAAACCCTTTGCCCAGCAGTACCTGGCAGAATACAAGTCCCCTGTTTACCAAGTGAATGGTAGTTTTTCTCCATCTCCTCTGCATCAAGGACCACCTCTAAGCAAGTCCACCCAAAGATTTCCCTCTCCAGGAAATGCCACCATTTCAGTAGCACTCTAGAGCACAGCAGCATGCCAAGTCAAACAGAACAGAAAAGCTGTCCCAAAAATGCATCACATCCTCAATCTTCACCCTTTTAAGCTCCCACCAGCCAACTGCTTCAATCAAGGCAACAGAGAAAACAGCACAGTTACTAAAGCAAGAACATAAGGTCTGGAAACAGACACATACCTGAGCGAATAGTCCAGTGTCATGCCTGTGAAGTCGAAAAACTTCAGGTATTCTTCGGCCACAAGCTTGCTGAATTCGTTGCTTTTAATCAAACAAATAAATAAGTAAAGGTTATCATTCAAGAGTGAGCCCCCTCAGAATCAGCTAGAAGAAAAATGTGGCAAAAGGCACATACTTTTTGCCCAAATGCTTTGCCACATCAGAGCGTTTGAATCTGTCCAGGTGGTAGAGGCGCTTTGCCAGGCGCCTGGCTGCTTCCAAATTGCTGCTGCTGCCATTGCTGAGATCATGGCCCAGGGCTCCACTGGCAGCTTTCTCCTGAAGTTCAGTGCTCCCCATGGCAGCACTGGAGTCTAACACCATATTCTGCAGTTCAGCATTGCTGTAAGACAGAAAGAATACACAAAGAAGAGAAATATGATGACTTTACAATTTCGAGAAGAAAATAATTGTAAAGAACTCCTCTTAGAATAGAAGGCAATTAATGGTGCAGATGCAAGATTATACAATATAGCAAATTCTACTTAATCATAGGAGCTGTGCAAAACAGGGACATTTATTAAGCAGTCATCAGAGGTTAAAAGAGCTAAACACGGAGACCCAAATATGGGTCTTCCAGCCCAGAAACACACTGCTCTGCACTCACCTTCTGAGTGTGCTGAGTGCCCAAAACTTGCTCACTTCACAGAGAACAGTTTGTTCTCATCACTCTACAGCTGCACCTGGTAACACTGCCTCCTCCTTTCCTTCTTGCACTAGTATTTTTTAACCCAATCACTTGCTTGGCTTGAAGGGTCCCTGTAGAAGCAGGCCATTAGTCATTTTCCAGAGGAAAATGCAGCGAGCAAGCCAGGGTGTTCAGTAGCTCCAAACTGACTCGGCACAAGTCCCTTCCTCATTCTTCCCCAGTTGTCCTGGAAACAATAAAACTCCCCAAACCTAAAATAACATCTATCTGAAGTCTCGGCAGCTTCCATGCCACCCATGAGCACCATGGATCCCACAGGGAGGCACTGCTAGAAAAAACAGGACTCAGAGCAAGGAACCCAGTCTGGGGAACAGGACTGAGACACAAGGCACCCAGGACAGAGTGAAGAACTGGTTGCTTTTCTCCTGCTTCCTCGTGGTGGCAATGATTTCCCTTGCCAGTTGCTCAAAGTCAGGATGCTCATCATTGCAGTCCCAGAGCACTTTACATAAATCATGCATTTATATATTCCTCCCACCTCCAATACAGCAGGAAAGCTCTGGAGGAGCCGGGTGCTTTCTCTGCTTCTCCCCTCAAACAGGCAAGAGCCCTCCACACCAGGAAGCATACCCCCACATACACACCCCTGCACACAGGCAGGCTTTTAACTCTAGAAAAGCTTTTCTCTGACACTGGCACAAAAATTCTTGCAAAATCTCAGCTCTGTGTGTGAGACAGCACTTCTATTAAAAAAATACCACACCGAAATTCTTTCCACTAAATCCTCATTTGACCAGGGCTAATGAACAATCAGCAAGGGTCCTGGGCAGGGCAGATCCAAGTGGAATGAGTTAAAGATGATTTTAAACACAATTCAAGATACCACATTTTCACATACTACTGCAATATTTGGGCTTGACAAGCCACAGTTAGAGCAACCTATTGCTGCGTTCCAGGAACACCTACCTAGCCACTTACTGAAATGTCTGCTAGCCACTTATTATCCCTTTAAGCATGAGATTTTCATATGTGAGCCTGAAATAAAAATCTTTGGTATTTTGCATGCCTTTGTCCACACAAACCATCACCTGTGCCCTATCTCTCTTCCCTTGTGTGGTTTAAGAGAAGGTGGTGTGTGTTGTTCCTACAGGAAGGAGAATTGCCTATTTCACCTCTGTTCCCATCCTCCTAGTGCTGCAAGAGCATCAAAAGTATCCTCCACGCTGCGGGTACAACTTTTTTTAGCCAGCATCGGGGAGAAATAGACTTCTAACCTGTTCCTACAAATACTCAGGATCTGATTTTGCACTTACTTCAGTGTAAATAATAAGTTCTTATAACAAAAGGGGCTCGGTCTCAGTGCTCTAGTAGTAGATGAATACTGTAAATACAATTCCAACAGCTTTAACATCACTGACCACCAGCTACCCTAGAAAACAAAATAAGCTCCCCCTGAAACCATTGTTGTGGAAAACGTCTCCTCAGCCCTTTCCAAAATTCTCTAAATTCAGTGTACTCCAAACTTGTGAAGAAAGCAAGTTCCAGCATCCCCTGGCACACAGCCTGCACCACGCCTTGTCGATTCAAATCAGGCATGACTGGTTCCAAACTCCCAGCTCTAACAATTGACAAGAGCAAAGGATAAACAGGTGAGTTAACACATCTACGGAGCCTTCCGTGTACAAATAATGCTTCGAAAGCCATGCCAACTTGTAGAGCTTCTCTCATAAATCACATCCCTGTTTCACCACTGCTCTTTATTGAAGGTAATGTTTATAGCCCTGAAAGATGGCCAAAGCTGACATGAAACATCTGCACCCTGCTATGAACCAGTGCACTATGAGAGTCAATGTTACTGCAAACCACTCTAAGTTTAGTAAGAAAGGAAGTGCCAGCATCTGTCACTTAAGTGAAATAAACAGTACGGCAGCTCCCAACTTCTGTTTTGCCTCTCAGAGCAGTGGCTGGGATAAGAAGGAGGAACACCCAGCAGGAAGGAGAGCATGCTGCTTCCCCTGCTCACCAAAACTAGCCAATGGAGCTGCCTAGGAAACCTTATCACCTGATCTTCCAACCTACCTGATTGCAAGCTTCATCCTGATGGGGGTGTCCCTGCACACGTATCAAGGCTAAGAACAAGGGATTCTTCCTTCAGTTGAGTACCTCATTTTACATAGTAAATACAAGAAGGCATCAAATCAGCAATACAAGTGGCCTGCAACGGAATTTTCTCATTCAGGGAAAATGTCAGGTTGTTAGCATTAAAGTGCACCTACAGTTTTCAATTTTTTTAAGTGGTGAGAAGACTTAGTGCCCATGTGATTGAAGGCTTAGGACATACAAATATCCTGTGCATGACTGATGCAAGCTGCTTTCTGGACAGGTCACTTTAGCAGGGATCAGGGGGTGCTAGTCAGGGGGAAAACTGACATCTCTTCTTACCTTCAAATCTCTCTGAGCCTACCACTTTCCCTCTGTGCCTCAGTGTCCCCAGCTGCTGAAGACAGATAGCATTACCTGCCTCCCTCTCCAAAGTGCTTATCACGGATTCCAATCAAGGTATAAGAGTGACCAAGGCTGCAAATAGGTCTGTCTTCTGCAGTGTACAGTTTCTTTGAATAAAGAGTCCACAGCAGCATTACTAGCTAAACAGAGCCCCGAAAGGCTCTGTGATGCAGAGCAGGTCTGGACATGCATTTCTCACACAGCATTAGTCTTTATCACACAAAAATCAGAAACCTCCACTGACAAAGACAGACTGAAACTTTATTAGCTTCTATTTCCCCTAATCCTGGATTCAAGTGTAAAACGAACTCTAAGGATACCTCTGGTAATTGCCTGCAGAGCAACAGCTGCTGATTTCATCCAGAGACTTTTACATTAATCTCTATCAGAAAACACAAGCTACAAAACTAAAAAAAAAAAAAAAACCAACTAAAAAAAATAAACCACACAAAAAAAAGAACCAAAAAAGCCCCCCAACAAAACAAAACAAAAGCCAACACCAAAACAAACAAACAAAAAACCAACCAACAAAACCCCACAACCAACACAGATCCCTTTGGTATCACACTGCATGAACTGTGGCCAGAAACCAGGTCCTTAAACCTTCTTCTTTCTGTTGCCACTACTGCCCTCCTGACACAGCCTCCCTCCTTCTGTCAAAGCATCCCCAGGTTCACAGTGAGTGCACAGAGGCTGTGACCACCATATCCAGTAGAAACTACTGCAATTCAATAAACAGCTGCCATGGTAAATTCAATAACTTGTAATAGCAGCAGCTGCCCTTCCACGTTCACAGACAAAACACGGGCAGACTATAACATCTGTAAAGCTGGTTTCCCGTAACAGACCCATAACAGGTGAGCAGTCTCTGAAGCATTTTATACTGTTTTCTTCACTTATTATCGATCAGGTCTGCAATGATTCAGCTCTCAATGCCAAGGTATCTCAATCATGCCATGCTCAGCACTAACAACACTTGCTTTGTTTAAGAATTTTCTACATTTGGTTATCCCCCCCGCCCTAGGTTTAACCAAAATTTAAATTCTCTACAACAACATGTGATTGGGGAATGGCTGCAACTTCCAGACAAAAACAGAGCAAGGCCAGTAACACAATGGTAAGGGATACAGTCACCTCGTATCTCACTTGCCCACTCTCCCAGCCTACTAAGCTGCAACTACAATCCTCAGCATGAGTACCCGCAGCTTCAGGTGTCTTAAGACCTGGGATGCTCTTCACTTTTTGTGAGTGGCAGGGTGTGACAACTCAGCCTAAGTGCTGTCCTCAGCCCAGCCTCAATCCTGATCCCAGTTTACCACTGCCTGCAGCTCGTGGAAGACTGAACCACTGCATACACTTTGTAGCACATGGTTACCCACGGATGAACATGTGGCCCTGCCCTAAGAAACGCTAATCCATCCAGTGTGCATGTCCCCAGGGAGTGCAGTGAAGGCACAATTTCTGGGGGAAGTTGGATGACACAGGACTAGGACCTTTCCAGGTCTTTTTGGAGAGAGAGGAGGAAACAGGAGGAAAAACAATTTTTTCTCTCAAATAAATCTGTACACCTTTAACATCAGCTTTTCTTCAAGGCAGACTAAGTCAGGCATTTGCCAGCAAAGTCCATCAGAGCGAAATGCAGCAATGATTAAAAAGAAGGAAGGGTGGAGATGCATTCTGGCATGCTGAAGCTAGGGCCAGAACAAATATTGTTTTCAGCA